TGATATACAAGTGAAATGTATAGTTTGGTACGTGAGAAAACTCAAATGGCACAGATGGTTCCCAAATGCCCGTTTTGGTGACCTCGGCTGACCTCTCTGTACTAAAACCTCAAACTCTGCAGAGAGACTGTTCACATGTTGTGCTCTGATTTGGGAGAAGTTTAGACCTGCAGCTGCATCATCCAAAGAGATGATCATCCTGAAAGTGCTCTTTCTTTTAGGCGAACCTGAACATTTTAAATTTGTGCTGTGTTCCATCTTCATTTACTCTTAACCAGTAACATATGCACTGATATTTACACATCCGAACAAATCTCACAAGTGTTCCCTTTATTCTAACACCAAAGTATTCAAATAGACCTTGTGGTTGCAGAAATACACTCTTCAGTATGGGTATGCAATTTTCGAGCAGAGGCCTAAAAAATAGGTCAGTTTTTTTTGAAAAGGAATCGTCACAAAGCTGAGAACTGTTTGATCTTTGTAGAGATACGAGGTTCTCACAGGAACATGTGACGATCTCATAGAACATGATGCAATAATGTAGATTAAACTAGTTAAAATCATGCAACATACACATTAGTGCAGCAGAAACATTTTACTGATCAATCAGTACTTTTACTTTAGCTACATTTTGTGCTTTTATTGTGAAAGTCCCATCAGGTAGAAAGAGGACACAATGAAAAATTTCAAAATAAAAAACCTAAAAGAGCTAAACATGTTAATGAGCGTTTAAATGAGATTGAAGAACTTAAGTAAGATTTGGAACCAGGACTTTTACTTGTGGAGTGTTTTTCACAGTGTGGTATACGTACTTTTAAGTCTGTTACACTTATTAAACCGTCTGATTTGAATCTGAAGTAACTCTGTATTATAATATGTTTTAAACTCACTGTGGTGGACAAGGAGACGATGTACATGTCCAGGTCTCCGTCTCCAGGAGTCCAGGAGACCAGCAGCCCTCCGACGGACTGAGGAACCAGGTGGAGGTTCCCGACTGCACTGGGAACTGGAGAGGAAGAAGTCCGGCTTCAGCAAAAAACAAAATGCACTCCAGGTGTTTTAAACTTATCGGTCCTCATCGTCTCACCTGTCCGACCCTCGATGAACTGAGCCCTCTGGTTCGGCCCGCTGAACGTCGACACCACGATCTTATAGAGACGCCCCGGGGTCAGAGAGGTCAGCCGGTGATGTCGCACCTCGCTGCCCAACGCCACGGGAGGGAAAACACGAGTGTCGTTGAAGAGCAGAGTCACCTGGGGATGAGAAACGAGGTTGAAGCTCTAAAGAGAGATTAAGATGATTCAAATCAAAGGAGTCACGACAGAAAATGAGCCAGATGGACATTTATTTATGTAGAAATAAGAACATCCTTAGTTTAAGAGTGTTGTAAATTGTTTAATTAGCCGCGTTTAGTTTAATTCCTGGTTGTATTTGGGATAAAAGTAAGAAAATAAATAAATCTCTAAAGCTGCTGTAAGTAAACTATAAAGTGTAATTTAAGTTTCTCTTTACATATATTCATTAGTGCTGGGCAAGTTAACGCGTTATTATCCCGTTAACGCATTATTATTTGTAAAGTGCGTTGGTGGAGGAAGTCTTCAGGCTACGTGGATGCAGCGTGTGGCAGAAGTAGAGATAAACTAAAGCAACACAAGCTAACACATGCTGCAGAGAAGTGGAGACAAACCGCAGGTTAGTGCTGTGGAAGATGTCGGTCTGAGGAACGTTCTCAAGGTGCGCAGATCGGGCTTTGAAAGTTAGCGGCAAGATTAACGTGACATAACATCCGGTTTCTTCAGACGAACATCCGGTTTTCAGAATAAGATGCCAACAAAGTATGAATTATATTCACATTAAGTCTAAAACATGCTACATCTCGTGAGTTAAAGGGAAAATACACCTAAATTGTGCGTAAAGTGTCTTTATTCTGATAGTGATGAAGAGTAGAGCTGCATCACATGCTCTGACTGTCATGAAGACACAACACACACATGTAGATGGAACGTGTGGAACATGTTGTTCCTGTTGCACAGCAGTGGAACGTTTCACACACAGTCACACACTGAGCACAGATAGTGAAGAGATAGAACTGCTGCTGTGTGAAGAGAACACTGCTGCTAACAACAGCCTGATGTGTTTAAAGTGTTTACACACAATGTTATTCACCTTTGTTCATAGAGCAGCACTTTCAGAATAAAACTGCGCAATACACTACTTTTGAATTAATTATTGAACTCTGCCATAACAATGAGATTAATCGCGATTAATCTCAAAAAATCCATGCGATTAATTGCGATAAAAAGTTGTAGTCGTTCCCCAGCACTACTATTTATATATATATTATTTATATTTTTCACACCTCATAGTGGTCAACGTCTCCGGGGGCGGGGCTCCAGGTGACGGACAGATCACCTGTTCCCGCGTTGCTGAGCGACAGATTTCCAACAGCTGCTGGAACTGAAGGACAACAAAACTTTAAATCAATAAAAACAAAGATGAATTAATATAAAGTTGTCTTCTTGGTCTCTGACTCACATGTTCGTCCGTCGGTCGAGATGCTGCCGACGTACTCGCCGCTCCAGGTTTCCACGGTGACAGTGTAGAGTCTGCCCGGCGACAGGGACGAGAAGACGCACTCGTTGTGTCCGGCCGAGACGCTCTTATTTTGAAGGACGCTGTTGTTGTAACGGATCAGAACCACATAGCGGTCCAGATCTCCTGCTGCATGACGCCAGTACACCTGAAAAACACAACAAAATACTTCTGATTACAGTTTAAATAATTACTATATTATCATTTATAAAACAGAAGTGAACATTTTCCCGATAACGAGAATTAAACTACAAACTGAAGTTCTTATTAGAAAACTTCATAGACAGATATATTATAATCATATGATTAATCATGTTTTATCTGCGAATAATAACTAATTATCATAACAAGTATTTTTAATTAAAAGAATAATGATTATTATTATTATTGTATAATAAAAATGTTTAATAAAGTTGAGAGTGAAACTCACTTTGAGGAAGTCGTCTCTTGCAGAGTGAACAGCTGTTGGGTTTTGAACTGTGGCCGGCTCTAAAAACAAATAAAATAAATTCATGTTTTATATCCTCACTTTTCACTTAATGTATATTTCTGCTTTGTTTAGTTGTGAATTAAAGAAGTTACACTGCAAAGAAAATATTCACAAATGAAAAGAGATTTAAAAACGGAAAAAAGACAAAAAAATGTGATCTATAAATATATAGAATAAGAAAAGAGAAACGTTACAGTAAACAGTGATTTTGAACAAAACTCCTGCCTCCTTTTAACAAAAAGCAGGAGTCTGAGTGCCATATATGGATACCGTCAGAGAGATAAGACTCTGGCAAACGTGCTGATGTGTTTTTTATGTTTGTGGTGTTAAAATGTGAGCTCCAGAGCAATAGACAAAACTGGTACCGTCTGCTTTCTTTGAGAAATGAGTGGTGAGATTTAACATGGAGTCTAATGGAGCAGTTGGTTGGAGTTCATGTCGCTCTGCGGCTCTTTGAGCCACATGTGTAAGTCCGTTGGATTCCATAGACACTTTACTGCGACCAGCACAACATTTCCAAGCTTTTCAACCAAAATGGTGTATAAAGAGTAAAAATTGTGGGAGCTGGAGCAATTTGTTTGGAAAAAATCACAGAATATTTTCCTGCTCCGCTCCACTCTGACAGTGATGTCATCACTCTAGCGCTGAACATTCCGTGCAATACACACCCATTATAAAATCTGAAACAGACCCAAAATTTTCCTGAAACTTAAATGTTGACTTCATGAAAACTGTGCTAGCTATCAAAATGTCTATTTGGTTCAATAAAGTGCAGAGTTTTGTCTACGTTTTAAACTTTGAATCACGTTTCTACGTTAAAGTACGGCTCGTCAATATGGGCCCAAAGTTGTTTTTTTGCGATCTTTACGCCGAAACCCCATTCAATTATTATTAAACCTTAATTAAAAAGAATGAAATGCAAATTAAAGAAAGTATAGATACAACATGAATATTAAATCTAACATCCTCACGTGTCCGTGCTTGAACCGTAATGGCGTTCTCCAGGCCGCCGCTCCTCGTCACTATGACCACGGAGTAAAGTCGCCCGGCGACCAGCGAGCTGAAGGAGCACTCGGGCGTTGAGGAGCGAGACACGGCCAGCGAGTGGACGATTCGAGTCACGTCCAGCAGCCGGACCAGGTAGCCGTCCACCACGCCCACCGCCGGGCGCCACGAGGACCACAGGGCGTCAGACCGACCGCCGTTAGACACCGTCACCTCGGAGACAGAGGCCGGGGCTGAGGGTCAGAGCTCAGAGGTCAAGAGGACTCCAACGAAGTTCAACACATTTAGTTTCAGTTTGTGTATTTAATTAAATTAAAATAATAAATAATAGTACAAAAATACATGAAAGAGTTCTGTAAACTAAATAAGTGTATCTCATAAAATTAAAATAATATTTAAAAAAATAATAGTAATAATAATCATAATCTTAATATCTATTCTTATTATAATAAAATAAAATAAAACATTTCTAAAGATACTTTTAGGGGATTGAGAAATTTGGGAAATTTACCGAGGGAATTTGAAAAGAAAGTGTAAAAACCATTAAAAAAATAATGTGAAAAAGAGATTGTGATAGAAAATGTTGGTGTGCTAGTACATTTCTACTGTGATTTAGTTGATGTGCCTTACTCACTAACAAAACTATATGTGACATGTGATTGTGTACTGAGGAGAGTGGTAACAGGACCATAGTTATCTCTGCCTTTGCTTTGATAAGGGGAAGTAACCAAATGGGGGTTGCAGTTTCACCAGAGAGTGTTCAGGTGTGAAGATTCCCAGAGATAATCAAAGGTAACAAAGACACATGTCTTTGTGTGACAAGGCTCAGAGGAGGAAGGGTGACTGGAGGGGTTAATGTGGAGCTTGAAACTGCTGATCAGTTGTTGTAATGTAAATACCTGATGTTCCCCCTGCTGTGAGCTGAGATGCTTCAGAGCAGAAGACAAACTGAACTCTTGGCTCATCCTCTGCGGACTGAGTTGCAGTCAGTATGACGGTGAAGCCTTCTCTGGCCAGAGAATAAATACTTGAAAGACGAACTTCTTCTCTCAATGTTTCTTGTTTCAGTATTCAGTATTATAGGACTCACTCGGTACTATTGAATAGTTTATTTCCACCACAGAGGTTATGCTACTGACTAGATTCATCTATCGACCAATAGGAGGCTGTCTGGAGGGGTTTGTTTTAGTTTTTTTGCCAACCTGAGTGCTGATTTGTCCGCAGGTGAACACACACACACACACACACACACACACACACACACACACACAGTCTGTTCTGAAAATAACTGGGGCATTATGTGCTTTGACACAATAACTGCTTTGAGAAGGAATGTGTGTGTGTGTGTGTGTGTGTGTGTGTGTGTGTGTGCGTGTGTGTGTGCATGTGTGTGTGTCTCTGTGTGTGTCTGTGTGTGTGTGTGTGCGTGTGCGTGTGTACAGGAAGCCTTTGAGCACTGGGAGTGTCTTTATGTGTGTTTGGAACATTTCAAACCTCCTTCTTGGTATTTAAGCTATTGTTCTAAAAACTCTCTGATGTTATCACAGAATACACTTTAACACAGACACACACACACAGATAGACAGACAGACACACACACACAGATAGACAGACAGACACAGACACACACACACAGATAGACAGACAGACACACACACACACACACCGTCTCTATGAGAAATACTCGAGTGTTTACCTCATCAAAGAGAAACCAAAAAGAGAGTTTTGAAATGTTAACAAAATGATGTTTTGTGTAAAATGTATTTATTCAGTTTATTTCACAACTTTATTTTCATAAGATGAACGTCTGTCTCGTTTTTTTTGCACTTCAAGGAATAAATAATAAAAATCTGTTTTATTGAACATTGTCTTAACTTCAAAGCATTTAAATTTAAACATGTTGAGACAAAAGATTTTGGAATCAGTGGATAAAATACCCAAAACGTGTGAATGTATTTTACAGGACTGTAACTTCCTTCATGATTTTCTAGAAGCTTCCTGAGAAGAACTATATGAGTTCAAACGGAGACAATGTGACCAATAAATGAACTGCAATAAGCTGCTCTCATAACCTAAAGACTCTGTTTGTCACATGGAACACAATTCAACATAAAGTTTCAAATAAAATGTATTTTCTTTATTTTTTATTTTTCAAAGGAAACGTCAGAGAAACTTATTGAGACATAAAATAAATCCTGATAAATAATAAATAACATTAGTTTAGATTTAGTTCTGAGTAACTCACCCGTTCGTCCCTCCAGTCCGGTGATCTCTGACTGAAGGTCTCCGCTGACGGTGGCGGCCTGCAGCCTGTAGAGGGCGCCGGGAATCAAACCAGCGAGCAGCAGAGAAGAAGAACCGACCGGAACGCTGTAGTTCTGGAGAACCACACTGAGGAGAACACGGTCATTATAAACACAGTACAGATAGACCTCAACCCTATCAAAATAAAGTCTACGTATGTCGTTCAACTAGTGCCTCCAAGTCGCCATCTTGTTTTTTTGCAACCAGTGAACAGGAAGTGACCATATATGGACTGAGGAGGAGTGACGTAGAGACGCCGTATATGTCTCTGGTAG